GACCCTTGTCTAGGATAAAACAGCCCCCTTGTCTAGGATAAAGCAGCGACCCCTTGTCTAGGATAAAGCAGCGACCCTTGTCTAGGATAAAGCAGCCCCCTTGTCTAGGATAAAGCAGCGACCCTTGTCTAGGATAAAGCAGACCCCTTGTCTAGGATAAAGCAGCGACCCTTGTCTAGGATAAAACAGCCCCCTTGTCTAGGATAAAGCAGCCCCCTTGTCTAGGATAAAGCAGCCCCCTTGTCTAGGATAAAGCAGCGACCCTTGTCTAGGATAAAGCAGCGACCCTTGTCTAGGATAAAGCAGCGACCCTTGTCTAGGATAAAGCAGCCCCCTTGTCTAGGATAAAGCAGCGACCCTTGTCTAGGATAAAACAGCCCCCTTGTCTAGGATAAAGCAGCGACCCCTTGTCTAGGATAAAGCAGCGACCCTTGTCTAGGATAAAGCAGCCCCCTTGTCTAGGATAAAGCAGCGACCCTTGTCTAGGATAAAGCAGACCCCTTGTCTAGGATAAAGCAGCGACCCTTGTCTAGGATAAAACAGCCCCCTTGTCTAGGATAAAGCAGCGACCCTTGTCTAGGATAAAGCAGACCCCTTGTCTAGGATAAAGCAGCGACCCTTGTCTAGGATAAAACAGCCCCCTTGTCTAGGATAAAGCAGCGACCCTTGTCTAGGATAAAGCAGCCCCCTTGTCTAGGATAAAGCAGCCCCCTTGTCTAGGATAAAGCAGCCCCCTTGTCTAGGATAAAGCAGCGACCCTTGTCTAGGATAAAGCAGCGACCCTTGTCTAGGATAAAGCAGACCCCTTGTCTAGGATAAAGCAGCCCCCTTGTCTAGGATAAAGCAGCGACCCTTGTCTAGGATAAAGCAGCCCCCTTGTCTAGGATAAAGCAGCGACCCTTGTCTAGGATAAAGCAGCCCCCCTTGTCTAGGATAAAGCAGCGACCCCTTGTCTAGGATAAAGCAGCCCCCCTTGTCTAGGATAAAGCAGCCCCCTTGTCTAGGATAAAGCAGCCCCCTTGTCTAGGATAAAGCAGCGACCCTTGTCTAGGATAAAGCAGCGACCCTTGTCTAGGATAAAGCAGCGACCCTTGGCCTTGTCTAGGATAAAACAGTGACCCTTGTCTAGGATAAAGCAGCGACCCTTGTCTAGGATAAAGCAGCCCCCCTTGTCTAGGATAAAGCAGCCCCCTTGTCTAGGATAAAGCAGCGACCCCAGCCCCCCTGGCAAGTGACAGAACGTCCCTCCATCTTAACAATCTGGGGCGGTCAGTTGAAGACTATAATTACACAAGATGTCGTGTTGCTGTCATCAGTGGTTTACATCAGATGTTCTGCCTCGCAATATCGAGGTGGTGTCCGGTACCAACCCTTTGTAAAGTGAACAAGGCAACTGTAACCTAGACAACAAGGGTCCTGCAATCATCATTATCCACGTGATGGTGATGTTTTGTAGTTTCGTTAGAGATGTGTACAGAGCCGAGGCCGAGGGAGGAGTTTTAAAATCTGCTGCAAAATTCCGAAAGACTACGATCTCTGGACCCTTACTGGTATATCAGTGAGTGTCAATGTACAATGCCACCCCAGCCCCCCCCCCCCCCCTGTAGTCTATACTATACAGGACTCTGTACAGTGCACTGCCCCCCCCTGTAGTCTATACTATACAGGACTCTGTACAGTGCACTGACCCCCTCCCCCCCCCCTGTAGTCTATACTATGTACAACATTCTGTACAGTGCACTGCCTCCCTCTATACAACATTCTGTACAGTGCACTGCCTCCCTCTATACAACATTCTGTACAGTGCACTGCCTCCCTCTATACATTCTGTACAGTGCACTGCCTCCCTCTATACATTCTGTACAGTGCACTGCCTCCCTATATACATTCTGTACAGTGCACTGCCTCCCTCAATACAACATTATGTACAGTGCACTGCCTCCCTCTATACATTATGTACAGTGCACTGCCTCCCTCTATACAACATTATGTACAGTGCACTGCCTCCCTCTATACATTCTGTACAGTGCACTGCCTCCCTCTATACAACATTCTGTACAGTGTCGGTGTACACTTGCTCTGATTGTATTGCAGCCCAACAAGTGAACACACAGTTGATTGGGCCGCACAGTTGATGAAGCCTTTTAAAGTCTGGTGTTGTACACAGCAGTGAGAGAGAGAGGGAGGGAGGGAGGGAGGGAGGGAGGGAGGGAGGGAGGGAGGGAGGGAGGGAGGGAGGGAGGGAGGGAGGGAGGGAGGGAGGGAGGGAGGGAGGGAGGGAGGGAGGGAGGGAGGGGAAGGGGGAGAGGGAGAGGGAGAGGGAGAGGGAGAGGGAGAGGGAGAGGGAGAGGGAGAGGGAGAGGGAGAGGGAGAGGGAGAGGGAGAGGGAGAGGGAGAGGGAGAGGGAGAGGGAGAGGGAGAGGGAGAGGGAGAGGGAGAGGGAGAGGGAGAGGGAGAGTGTTTGAATGTTGGTGTGCGTCCAAATGGAATGCACTGTCTGGATTCTGATCAGTACAAACTTCAGACTAGATGGGAGTACTTTCTTGTTCTTTACTTGGAGCTCTGAAGCTTTCAACTTTCTGATGCTATTTCTCGTGAGAAGTGTTTGATTTTAGTTAACTCGTGATACATTGAATATTATCACACAACTCGGGACTGAAGTTAGTTTTATCAAAACAACATCTTAAAAAACAGGCATTTCTCAAAAACATGCTTGCCTAAGCTGGTCGAGTCAGCCGTTAGGTGACTGGATTAGTGTGTTGTTAAAGACGTGTGTTGTTAGGTCATCTAGCAACACGTCACACATCACACGTCACACATCACACATCACACGTCACACATCACACACCCTAGCCTGTAGTATCTTACATCACTCGCACAACCAGAGAGAGCCACGTGGCCCTAGCTAACTAGCTAGCTTACCGCACGTACAACATACACTCACACATACATACATACACTCATACATACACTCATACATACATACACTCACACATACATACACTCACATACATACACTCACACATACATACACTCACACATACATACACTCACACTTACATACACTCACACATACACTCACAGTTCACACAAACACTCACACAGATTGAAGTAGCTATACTGTAGCCAGTTGCCTGGGTACACATTTCATAGCACATTTGTTGAGATCATCATTTCTATTGCATAACAATGTCAACATGGATTATGGAATGTTCTCTCTACCTGGGTCTACAGAGTATTACATTATCACACCCTCTAATGTATCATATTACATCATCACTCTAATGTATCATATTACATCATCACACCCTGTAATGTATCACATTACATCATCACTCTAATGTATCACATTACATCATCACACCCTCTAATGTATCACATTACATCATCACTCTAATGTACAACACTTTTATGTATTACATTACAGCCTCCCCACTCCAGTAAACTAGTTACACGCAATGATAGGATCACCCAAACATATACCCGGCCCGTAGTATGTTGAATCAGCACACTCACCACCCCACCACACACGTCCACCCACCCCACCACCACTCACGTCCACCCACCCCACCACACACGTCCACCCCACCACACACGTACACCCCACCACCACACACGTCCACCCCACCCCACACGTCCACCCACCCCACCACACACGTCCACCCCACCCCACCACACACGTCCACCCCACCACACACGTACACCCCACCACCACACACGTCCACCCCACCCCACACGTCCACCCACCCCACCACACACGTCCACCCCACCCCACCACACACGTCCACCCCACCCCACCACACACGTCCACCCCACCCCACACGTCCACCACACCACCCCACCACACACGTACACCCCACCACCACACACGTCCACCCCACCCCACACGTCCACCCACCCCACCACACACGTCCACCCCACCCCACCACACACGTCCACCCCACCCCACACGTCCACCACACCCCACCCCACACGTCCACCACACCACCCCACCACACACGTCCACCCCACCACCACACACGTCCACCCCACCCCACACGTCCACCACACCACCCCACCACACACGTCCACCCCACCACCACACACGTCTACAACATTATCAACATTTATCAGCAGCATGTACCTCAGTTCACACTCTTTAGTCACAGTGCATTCCACGCTTGTGGTGTACATTGAGTGTAGCAGTGTTACAGTGTAGCAGTGTTACAGTGTTACAGTGTTACAGTGTTACAGTGTTACAGTGTTACAGTGTTATAGTGTTACAGTGTTATAGTGTTACAGTGTTACAGTGTTACAGTGTAGCAGTGTTACAGTGTTACAGTGTTACAGTGTTACAGTGTAGCAGTGTTACAGTGTTACAGTGTAGCAGTGTTACAGTGTTACAGTGCTACAGTGTTACAGTGTAGCAGTGTTACAGTGTTACAGTGTAGCAGTGTTACAGTGTTACAGTGTTACAGTGCTACAGTGTAGCAGTGTTACAGTGTTACAGTGTTACAGTGCTACAGTGTTTACCTCTGTATTCTCCAAACACACACGCTACGATGAGGCTACACACTAAACGTGTGTATAATATTAATAATAACACATCAGACTTTTGTAACAATATGAGCGAGTGTAGTGTATCTGCTAATCCGGCCTTGTAGCTGAGGTATGAGGTTAATACTGTAGTAGCAACTACTAGTTAGTAGTAGCAGGGTTCAGGTTAAGTAATTAAGTAATAATCACTCCGAGAGAGACTACCTTAGTTTAGAGGGGGAGTAACTTATCACTCAGGTAGGGTTGGTATTTAAACAAATAACACTCAGGTAGGGTTGGTATTTAAACAAATAACACTCAGGTAGGGTTGGTATTTAAACAAATAACACTCAGGTAGGATTGGTATTTAAACAAATAACACTCAGGTAGGATTGGTATTTAAACAAATAACACTCAGGTAGGATTGGTATTTAAACAAATAACACTTAGGTAGGGTTGGTATTTAAACAAATAACACTCAGGAAGGGTTGGTATTTAAACAAATAACACTCAGGTAGGGTTGGTATTTAAACAAATAACACTCAGGTAGGGTTGGTATTTAAACAAATAACACTCAGGAAGGGTTGGTATTTAAACAAATAACACTCAGGTAGGGTTGGTATTTAAACAAATAACACTCAGGTAGGATTGGTATTTAAACAAATAACACTCAGGTAGGGTTGGTATTTAAACAAATAACACTCAGGAAGGGTTGGTATTTAAACAAATAACACTCTGGTAGGGTTGGTATTTAAACAAATAACACTCAGGTAGGGTTGGTATTTAAAGAAATAACACTCAGGTAGGGTTGGTATTTAAACAAATAACACTCAGGTAGGGTTGGTATTTAAACAAATAACACTCAGGTAGGGTTGGTATTTAAACAAATAACACTCAGGTAGGGTTGGTATTTAAACAAATAACACTCAGGTAGGGTTGGTATTTAAACAAATAACACTCAGGTAGGGTTGGTATTTAAACAAATAACACTCAGGTAGGGTTGGTATTTAAACAAATAACACTCAGGAAGGGTTGGTATTTAAACAAATAACACTCAGGTAGGGTTGGTATTTAAACAAATAACACTCAGGTAGGGTTGGTATTTAAAGAAATAACACTCAGGTAGGGTTGGTATTTAAACAAATAACACTCAGGTAGGGTTGGTATTTAAAGAAATAACACTCAGGTAGGGTTGGTATTTAAACAAATAACACTCAGGTAGGGTTGGTATTTAAACAAATAACACTCAGGTAGGGTTGTTATTTAAACAAATAACACTCAGGTAGGGTTGGTATTTAAACAAATAACACTCAGGTAGGATGGCTCCGACCAGTAAGAAGGACCCTGAAGTGGAGTCTAAAGATGATATCTGGTCTAACTTACTTAGCTCACTGCAGACTAGGACCACTTCAAGAGGTAATTACTATTTAATTCTTACCGTAAGCAGTAGTTAATCGCTAATTTTATTAATTTGTTTGCTAATATAATAATTTTTAATCAGTAGTTAATGACTAAGCAGTAAGTATTATTGGCCTAGTTTGTTTCTAACCCTAGCCTACTACTTACTATCTGACCCTATACCAATCTACCATCGTCTAGGGAATAAGACGGTGATCATGCTGGGCACACCAAAATCTGGCAAATCTACACTCGTGTCTAAGATGATGGACCCAAAACATGCAGAACTCATTGATAGTAACCCTGGGGTGGAATTTAGGTAAATCACACATCTTGTCACACCTCACATTTCACACATCACGTCATTTTCACACTTCACTTTATAATACGTCACCACTTCTTCATCTTACAGAGTTAGTTTTATAATCTTTAAGTTCCTCTCACTTTGAAATTAAAACTTTAATTAAAGTAACTGACATTGTTAACGACCAACTCTCCGGACTTGTACTAAAAATCACACGAAATATTTGAAATTGCAGAGATCACAGCGGGATCCTGAATCCTCCTTCTAGATCAAACATTAAATTCCATTAGTCGTTAAGTCGCATCCTCCTCCGTCCTAACGTTATCCACACACACACACACACACACACACACACACACACACACACACACACACACACACACACACACACACACACACACACACACACACACACACACACACACACACACACACACACACACACACACACACACACACACACACACACACACACACACACACACACACACACACACACACACACACACACACACACACACACACACACACACACACACACACACACACACACACACACACACACACACACACACACACACACACACACACACACACACACACACACACACACCCGTACTGTAATTAACATGCTCTAATTTCACAACTCTCCGATGACTTAAGACAGTGATAATGATAATTTAATTATGTTATCTGACGTTATCCTCTCTTAGATCACCCCAATTGTACTGAGTTATTGTTCTTACATTCCTTACTAAGGAAACCAAAAGGATGCTGTTAACATTGTGTACTGTAGACCATTCGGTGGTGGAACATACAGGGTGGCCCAGAAGTAACATATTTATAGTTATTTTGGTTACATTCTGAACTCGTGATATGTTTGAGTAAAAGAAGAAGTTTTATTGGTTCATAAGGTCGATAAATTGGAAAGAACTTTAAAAAGACAGATCAATATGCCATCATTCTGATTATCATAGGTCGCCCCAAAATAGCACACGATGACCAATGGCAAATAGCATACGCCCCAAAAGAAAACAAACTAAATGATTTAATAGGGAGCACGACTACAGACAGACAGACAGACAGACAAACATACTGACTGACTGACTGACTGACTGACTGACTGACTGACTGACTGACTGACTGACTGACTGACTGACTGACTTACTGACTGACTGACTGACTGACACACACAGACTCACAGACTCACAGACAGCACTAATCAGTCTAATTATGTGTATCAGTTCTCCCTCAGTTACGTTACAGTTCGGGACGAAGAAAAGGAGAATCTAGGACAGATCGGGGTCCACTTTACCAGCTACAAGCACTTCCTGCCTTTTGTTCTTACTAAAGAAAGGTACTATTCTAACTAACCGGGATTATTATCCCCTTTGGTACTTAGTTATCCATTTAATATCGTGCCCACAATAAGAGACGTAAATCTTCACGGTCAGATATTGGGTTGTTTATTTGATTACTGCTCAATTGTAGGGCTTAAGGTTTTGGTTCCTTCCACAGATACCGAAAGACAACCTTAAATATCATTCTTTGGTAAAGTTTTTCGCAAAACTTTCTTACCGGAAATCACTTTGAAAACATCTCATTTTGAGGTTCATTTCATTTCTTGACAGGATGAAGAACGCCATGGTAGTTATAGTGTTGTCTCTAGATAAACCCTGGAATCTGGAGGAGGAACTTCTTTATTGGACCTCCCTGTTAGAGGAACATATCAAGAGTTTGCAGGTATGTGACATTAGACACGTTTCCCTTATATAACCCATGAAACACACTAGTCACTATAACATAGTTCCACTTATTTTGAACTGAGCAATTAATTACGCCGCGTCTTACGCTAATAATTTGCTCATTATTTCTGATGACTGTACTTGAGATATATAAAAACATTACATTCAAGCTAATTTGAAATCACGGGCTGAAACACAAAATAATATTTCGTACGCTTTTGAAAAAATCTCATTATATACTTACACAAACTTACAACCCCCTGATCCCATCTCTCCGCACAAACTTACAAAGTTACAACCCCCTGATCCCATCTCCCCGCACAAACTTACAACCCCCTGATCCCATCTCCCCGCACAAACTTACAACCCCCTGATCCCATCTCCCCGCACAAACTTACAACCCCCTGATCCCATATCTCTGCACAAACTTACAACCCCCTGATCCCATCTCCCCGCACAAACTTACAAAGTTACAACCCCCTGATCCCATCTCCCCGCACAAACTTACAACCCCCTGATCCCATCTCCCCGCACAAACTTACAACCCCCTGATCCCATCTCCCCGCACAAACTTACAACCCCCTGATCCCATCTCTCCGCACAAACTTACAAAGTTACAACCCCCTGATCCCATCTCCCCGCACAAACTTACAACCCCCTGATCCCATCTCTCCGCACAAACTTACAAAGTTACAACCCCCGGCCCTGATCCCATCTCCCCGCACAAACTTACAACCCCCTGATCCCATCTCCCCGCACAAACTTACAACCCCCTGATCCCATCTCCCCGCACAAACTTACAACCTTAACCCCCTGATCCCATCTCTCCGCACAAACTTACAAAGTTACAACCCCCGGCCCTGATCCCATCTCCCCGCACAAACTTACAACCCCCTGATCCCATCTCCCCGCACAAACTTACAACCCCCTGATCCCATCTCCCTGCACAAACTTACAACCCCCTGATCCCATCTCCCCGCACAAACTTACAACCCCCTGATCCCATCTCTCCGCACAAACTTACAAACTTACAACCCCCTGATCCCATCTCCCCGCACAAACTTACAACCCCCTGATCCCATCTCTCCGCACAAACTTACAAACTTACAACCCCCTGATCCCATCTCCCCGCACAAACTTACAACCCCCTGATCCCATCTCCCCGCACAAACTTACAACCCCCTGATCCCATCTCCCCGCACAAACTTACAACCCCCTGATCCCATCTCCCCGCACAAACTTACAACCCCCTGATCCCATCTCTCCGCACAAACTTACAACCCCCTGATCCCATCTCCCCGCACAAACTTACAACCCCCTGATCCCATCTCCCTGCACAAACTTACAACCCCCTGATCCCATCTCCCCGCACAAACTTACAACCCCCTGATCCCATCTCTCCGCACAAACTTACAAACTTACAACCCCCTGATCCCATCTCCCCGCACAAACTTACAACCCCCTGATCCCATCTCCCCGCACAAACTTACAACCCCCTGATCCCATCTCCCCGCACAAACTTACAACCCCCTGATCCCATCTCCCCGCACAAACTTACAACCCCCTGATCCCATCTCCCCGCACAAACTTACAACCCCCTGATCCCATCTCCCCGCACAAACTTACAACCCCCTGATCCCATCTCCCCGCACAAACTTACAACCACCTGATCCCATCTCCCCGCACAAACTTACAACCCCCTGATCCCATCTCCCCGCACAAACTTACAACCCCCTGATCCCATCTCCCCGCACAAACTTACAACCCCCTGATCCCATCTCCCCGCACAAACTTACAACCCCCTAATCCCATCTCCCCGCATTAAAACCGGATTAAAATTGGAAAAACTCCAACCACTTACCTGTTCGAATTTTAATTAATGTGCCTTATTTTAACTAAGGAAGAGGTATCGTGATGACAGGCAGGAGTATATATTACACCATACCCACAGATCCAGTGCTCTTTCCTTAAAATACTCCTACTTCATCAAAATACGCCCTGTTTAGAGTTTACATTTTTAAATTATAAACACATCGTGTGTCTGACTGTGAGTCTCACTGGGAGATAGTGTGAAGTTGGTACGGAAATATCACATACCTCTAACATCTCCCTCTCCGATACATTATGAAACTATATAACTTCATTAATACAATGAGATCTATCTAGATGTTTTGTATCGTAAAATGTACACGGTCCTTGATGCTGTGTGTCGTGTTCACATTTTTCGCATACCTTTAAATTCCTAAATTCTCTCTCTCTCTCTCTCTCTCTCTCTCTCTCTCTCTCTCTCTCTCTCTCTCTCTCTCTCTCTCTCTCTCTCTCTCTCTCTCTCTCTCTCTCTCTCTCTCTTCATCTTCTTTGTCAAATGTGTCACGTGGTGTAAATACTGTATTCTGGTTGGCTGACGCTCTCTCCCTCACACAGATTGATGGAGGAGAAATGGCGAAACTGCGACATAACGTTGTGGATTTGTTCAGCTCTTACAAGAGTCCGGAACGAAAGGACGATAGAGAAGAGGAGAAGAAGAGTAAGGAAGATGAAGATGAGGTCATTCTCCCCATTCCAGAAGGAGCTCTTATCTCAAATCTTGGAATTCCTGTGATCGTGGTACTGAGTAAGGTGAGAGTGATAAGAATTTAGTAGTCAACGTGTCGTTAACCATATTAAAGTTTCTGTTGTTTAATTTAATTTTGTTTCCTCAATGTTTGTTGTTTTTATTATTACACAATTACCAATCTGATCAGGGATACAGTCCTTAGCTCATACCTATTATTAGACAACTATCATTCTGACTAACTGAATTGTGTCACGTGGTGTGAATACTGTGCTCTGATTGGTTGGTTTGTGTCACGTGGTGTTGATACTGAGCTCTGATTGGTTACTTTGTGTCACGTGGTGTGAATACTGTGCTCTGATTGGTTACTTTGTGTCACGTGGTGTGAATACTGTGCTCTGATTGGTTCAATTGTGTCACGTGGTGTAGATACTGAGCTCTGATTGGTTACTTTGTGTCACGTGGTGTGAATACTGTGCTCTGATTGGTTCAATTGTGTCACGTGGTGTGAATACTGTGCTCTGATTGGTTCAATTGTGTCACGTGGTGTTGATACTGAGCTCTGATTGGCTGAAATGATACAATCCTCCAGGTAGACTCAATGTCCACTCTACAAAAGGAGAACGACTTTTCAGAGGAACATTTCGAGTACATACAGTGGTATTTGAGGAAAGCTTGTCTTGCGTGGGGTGCCGGTCTGCTTTACTGGTGCGTCATTCTTCCTTATTTGGAGAACTGTCATTCTATTTTAAGTTCCTAAATCATTTAACCCTTGACATGGGGTCGGAAGATTTACTCATTTTTAACCAAATATAGCAACCCAAATATTAGCCTATAAACATTTTGACAGCCTATTCAATTTGTTGTTATAATACTCAGTGAGTTGGCTCATTGAGTTGGCTCAGTGCCCAATCTGCTAATATTAACCCTTAATTTCACTTCCAGTTCACCGCGAGAGAACAGCAACACTAAACTGCTGCTCGACTATATGAGTCACGTGTTCTACGGGTTAAAGCTCAGGACAGAGCCGCAGGTTGTGGACAGGGATGCTATTTTCGTACCGATTGGCTGGGATTCTCCCTCTAAAATAGCCCTTCTAAGTGATGGTAAGCACCACTGATTGTTATTACTATTTTTAAGCCCGGGGCTTATTCCTCGTTTATCGCTAATTATTCCGGGAGTTTCAAAATCGGGTTAGAGTTTGAGTAGTAGAATCAAGGTAGCTTGGAGTTCCTAGCTAAGTGCTAAAGTGCTGTTACACTTGGACTCTAGCCAAACGTCTAGTTTGTTGTACCCTAACGGTCAACTTAGCTTCCTGTTAAGTATCGCTGTATATACTGTGTACCGTTTAATGAGTAATGCCCTAATTTATCTCACTTTTTAGGAACTAAACTATTTAACCCACTCAGGTTTTGTTCAGTTCACGCAGTCCAAACCGTTCGTAGAACAGATAGCGGCACTGCCTGATATCCGACAAAAACGTGTAATAAAAGGAGAAGACGACCAACTGTTCCTGACGAGAATGCAAGCTGTACTGGTAGAGAAGCAGAAGAGTGGCTCTCCCATGAGCCCCTCCCACCACAAGGTACTAGAGGGGGAAGTTAAGGGAGCTGCTAAAACTCCTCCACCTGCTGATGGGGTGCTGGCTAACTTCTTCAACTCTCTGCTCACCAAGAAACCAGGAAGTGGTCCTACTTCTCCCAACCACTCTCCCTCTCCTCCCCCGACACAGAACACTCTTGTTCCGCCCAAGAAAGCGCTTGCGCCGCAACTTTCAGCGCCACAGAAGCGCGAGGAACACGAAAAACAAGCGCTAGCTGCGTCTCGCTCTAACCCTGAGTCGGCGGATGAGGTGAAAACTCCGATAGAGAAAACTAAAACTACATCTAAATTACCAGCTGCTGCTCCCCCGGCATCTAGAGAGAAGTCTCCCAGTAAGACGCCTGCTAAAACACCTGTAAGGAGGGCTGCTGCTCCTGCAGGCATGAAGAAACCTACACCTAAACGAGGCCTGCCTCAACCACGGAAATAGATACAATGGGACTTTTTGTAGGGTTACCTAGATTAACCTGTCGCTGTGCATGGTTGAAAATTATTATTTGACGTTGGTTTTTATATTAAATTTGTTTGTATTGATTTGTAATAATTTCCTATTTTTGGCATTTTGTATTTTGTACTCTTCTCTTACTTAAACTTACTGGGTGTTTTTGTTTTTATACGTGAAAATAAACTTATTTGTATTGGATGTAAAGTGTATATTTAAACCATATTTAACTTTTACATAAATATTTCTTAACAATTTACATACGTGGAACATAAGTCACGTGACATTAGTCACTCCGACTTATTTAACTAGGCTTGCTTACTTTACGTTTGCATGAGTTGTGTATTTAAACTAATAATTGTCGCTGAAAGTAAAAACGCTGCTTGATTTAAGAATGTAAATTTAAAAACTAGGGTTTTGTACAATTGTTTTTTATTTGTTACTTTATTTAGACGAACTTTTCTTTTATTTGTGAACTTTATATATCTTTAAAATGATGAACTTTTCTTGTTGTTTCTTGATTTTGTATCTTATTTTTCTGATATTGGGATTTTCTCGTAATATTATGTGTATCTTATCTGTGGTTTTTTCTTATTTGATGCAATTTATTGAATGCCCGTACCATTTTATTTTGAAACTGACGTATTTTTTCTCAAACTAAGCTACTGTCACGCGACCCTAAAAAAGGTCTTCTAGGAAGCGGGATTTCGCTCTTAGTATGCACTGTTGTTACCATTCAGGACGCGCGCATGGAATTTAATCCGGCTTGGCGCGTCCGCATTAGCCATCTTGAAACAGTTTGCAGAGGGAAAACTGGTAGTTAGTTTATTAGCTATATTATCAGGCCTACAGTACACTGACTTAGAACTGTCGTTTTTTTGAGGACTGTCAATTAAAGTTACACCAAGCAAAATACACAGAAATCGGTACCGGAACACTTTTAATCAACTCTAATATATTATGCGACACCATATATTAGTAAGGCCAAAATACGTTTTATTTAACAGCAAAGTATATGATAAATGTTAAAATATAATTAAATACAGATATTCGAAGTTCCTGGTCATCAGCGTAAGATTGGAAATATCGTGAGGCATTGCCCCTAATTTTGTGTGTTTATAGTAATTGGTAATACGCCCCCAGCACTTCAATAATAGTGGAGCGGTTGAGAAAGATACTGCCCTCTCGTCAAGTACACAATCTTTGACCAAGGGACGCCACGAACTACTATGGAAGAGGTAAGAGTTTGGTGGTGAGAAATATCATTTTAAAGGTCCGTGAAATTAATTCTCAGCCTGCGACAGCGGTACGACTACAATCGTATCAAGTGGCAGGGAATTTGACGTGATATGAAGCCGTGATCTAACCGATAAGAAAAAGAGATTAATTTGCAATACGTTAAAATTGTTAACACGGTATAATAAGAATTTTGAAATATTTCGATAGTTCGATTTAATTGAATGACAATTCCCCAAAATCTGGCTCTGACTCCAAACACAGAACAATTTGTGAAACAATGTGAACTTTATTATAGATGTAACATGCAAGGAAAATTAACTGGCTGTGCTATTATATTTTGTACTCCGGCTTATTTAAAGATAGTCGGATATCCAAAAATGTACAATTCTAAATCTATCGTACGGTAATAGTATACGGTATCCAGGTACATTAATCGATAATAAGTATTCTGTATCTATATAATTTTATATAATTAAACTGTAAACGCAGTTTTTGGGATATATGATTAGATGGGAGGAATTATTTTGCGTAAAAAACCTTGTTGTACAGAGGTACCGTGTCATAGTAAATAATAGAGAGGTTTAACTGAGTTTTTCGCTGAGATCACCCTTGATCTGAGCCGAGCATGCACGTGTGGGAATCAGGAATACTGTATCTAAAACATTTCCCGGCGAATCACTACGCGTGGGACCAATGGATGAAATGCGACCATTTAGTCAATCAAAACATCTGCTGTCCCGCGCGTAGCGTACGTGCGCGCGAGAAGAGGAGGCGGCGCAATCAGTATTATAACATTTTAAACCGCGCGTTCCGTTAAGTAGTGTTTTAATTAGTCTGGTACATTGAACCTGGTGTAGAACATGTATATGTTATAATGTACTTCCGCGCAAATACAGACGAGCTGTATACAGACGATCTGCTGTTGAGTACCACAAATCATACACTCCATCTTTGTGAATAACGGAAAATTCTCGAGTATAATTTGTTATATCTGTGGAAGATAAAAGATATAAACTTACAGCCTAAAAATAGAATAATTTAATAAAGTCCGTAAACTACATAGCAAGAAAAAGAAAATATGAAATAAATAAAATAATGTAAAAACTTTTACCCATCTGATATGCTCAGAATTCAGATTTTAAAAATCTAATTTAAAAATGACAGGAAAGTGACAGCCAAATTTGTAATATGTTTTGTAAAGCCGATAGATTTAAATAACAGACGACTAAGTTTTCTATTTTTGAGGTTATAGAAATGGCCATGTGACAGAGGTTCCGACTCATTCTGAGTTGTTTATCAATCATTACTCAATGCTTTAACCTAATTAGTTAATTAATTAACCTGATTAGTTAATTAGTTCACAATATCTCATGTATTCAGATCTAAAACAAAACGTATTATAGTGACTAGTTATAGTGACGGTTATATAAAATAGGATCCCAACACCGATCAAATATGTAGAAAACAATTCATCATCATTTATTTAAAACACGATAAATAAAACATCTTAACGATGCAAAACCAGTCAATAATATCACATGATGTATCAGTCACGTGGTCTTGACACGTGACTTTGTCAGGAATTAGTTCAGTCCGATTGATCGGAGGGATTGTCGAGAGCTAGTTCGCACAGTTTATCAATCTGCCTCCTGATAGCATGGAGACAATCGTTACAGTTCTCTTGGTGCATTCCTGAGCAATTATAAGGATTAATTACTAAGTACTAAGTTAACAAGCACCTATTATGGTTATTGGTTAAGTAAGGCAGGGTGCCAGGGTATTAATATAGTAGTTTACACACACAACATAATATGTTACCGTTTCGTCTGTGAGTCACACACACAACATAATATTTTACCATTTCGTCTGTGAGTAACGCACGCCCCCTCCTTCTTATTCCAGCTCTCGTAGATAGCGCGCAGCGTGCAGGTTAGCTCCCAACTCCGCATCTCACTCCTCTTCAACTTCTTCTCCATCTTCAGACATCTGAGGAGTGACAGTTAGTCACGTGGTAAGTGTGTATTATAGTGACTAGTTATAGTGAGGTGCACTGAATTGCCTGAATATTGTCCAAATTTGGAATATCTGACAGAATTTATGTTATATTAAACAGAACTTAAGTTTTATTCTCAGCGTGTACACTGTATTCTGAGCGTGTACACTGTATTCTCAGCGTGTACACTGTATTCTCAGCGTGTACACTGTACTCTCAGCGTGTACACTGTATTCACAGTGTGTACACTGTATTCTCAGCGTGTACACTGTATTCTCAGCGTGTACACTGTATTCTCAGCGTGTACACTGTATTCTCAGCGTGTACACTGTATTCTCAGCGTGTACGCTGTACTCTCAGCGTGTACACTGTACTCTCAGCGTGTACACTGTATTCTCAGCGTGTACACTGTATTCTCAGCGTGTACACTGTATTCTCAGCGTGTACACTGTATTCTCAGCGTGTACACTGTATTCTCAGCGTGTACACTGTATTCTCAGCGTGTACACTGTATTCTCAGCGTGTACACTGTATTCTCAGCGTGTACACTGTATTCTCAGCGTGTACACTGTATTCTCAGCGTGTACACTGTATTCTCAGCGTGTACACTGTATTCTCAGCGTGTACACTGTATTCTCAGCGTGTACACTGTATTCTCAGCGTGTACACTGTATTCTCAGCGTGTACACTGTATTCTCAGCGTGTACACTGTATTCTCAGCGTGTACACTGTATTCTCAGCGTGTACACTGTATTCTCAGCGTGTACACTGTATTCTCAGCGTGTACACTGTACTCTCAGCGTGTACACTGTATTCTCAGCGTGTACACTGTATTCTCAGCGTGTACACTGTATTCTCAGCGTGTACACTGTATTCTCAGCGTGTACACTGTATTCTCAGCGTGTACACTGTATTCTCAGCGTGTACACTGTATTCTCAGCGTGTACACTGTATTCTCAGCGTGTACACTGTATTCTCAGCGTGTACACTGTATTCTCAGCGTGTACACTGTATTCTCAGCGTGTACACTGTACTCTCAGCGTGTAATCTGATCCCGTAAGGTCACGTGATATATGATCTAACAATAGGATGATGGTATTTAACAAAAGTACTTGATAAAGAAAACTTTTGCCACGTGCAGTGTCCGGAGATAACGCACAATACAGCATGAGATCATTTGGGGGGGGGGATCATGTTATTTTTTGTCCGTTTTTGTCCGTTTTTGTCCGTTAATTTTTGTCCGTTTTGAAAATATAGCTGCCAAACGGACAAAAACGGACAAAAACGGACAAAAACGGACAAAAACGGACAATAATTGTAACTTTTGATTTAAATTTTCTCCACAATTTGTAACAGGCTATCTGCAGAAATGGGTAGCCCGGTTAATGACCATGGTCCTTTCTCAAACTTTTAATCTTTAATTAGGCACAAAGAATAGTCTACACATTTTTTAATAACATAAAAAGGGATGAAAAGTTTTATTACTGGAGAGTAAAACTTTGTTAAACACAAAGATTCTTGATCACATTTTGAGTCAGACTCAAATGCGCTTAAAAACATTTTAGTATACGGTATAACAATAAATTATGTTAACAATAACACCAACAATAATTATAAATTGAACAAATTATTGAGAGATGAAAGAGAGGAAAAGGAGGAGGGGGGACTGAGGAGGGGGACTGAGGAGGGAGAGGAGGGGGGCTGAGGAGGAGTGAGACTGAGAAGGAGAACTGAGGAGGAGGAATGAATAGGAGGAGGAGAAGAAGGACTCAAGAGGAGGAGGACCCAAGAGGAGGAGGACCCAGGAAAAGGCCCCATGAGGAGGACTGGGGAGGAAGAGGACGGATGAGGACTGATGAGGACTGATAAAGAGGACTAAGGACGAGGAGGAGGAGGAGGAGGAGGAGAAGGACTGATGAGGAGAAGGAGGTGTATGAGGAGGATGAGGAGGAGAAAGGAGATAAAGGATGAGGATAAGGAGGACTGAGGAGGAGGACTGGTGAAGAGGACTGATGAGGAGGAGGACTGAGAAGGGGAGGACTTAGGAGGACTGACGAGGGGAGGACTTAGGAGGAAGAGGAGGATTGAGCAGGAGGAGGACTGAGGAGTAGAAGGAGGAAGAAGACTGAGGAGGATCAGGAGGACCCAGGAAGAGGAGGAAGAGGAGGAGGACTGAGGAGGAGAAGGAGGACCCAAGAGGAGGAACCAGGAAGAAGAGGAGGAGGAGGACTGAGAAGGAGGAGTGAGACTGAGAAGGAGAACTGAGGAGGAGGAATGAATAGGAGGAGGAGGAGAAGAAGGACTCAAGAGGAGGACTGAGGAGGAGGAGGACTAAGGAGAAGGATGAGGAGGAGGACCCAAGAGGAGGAGGACCCAAGAGGAGGAGGACCCAGGAGGAGGACCCAGGAAAAGGCCCCAAAAGGAGGACTGGGGAGGAGGAGGACTGATGAGGACTGATGAGGACTGATAAAGAGGACTAAGGACGAGGAGGAGGAGAAGGAGTGAGCAGTGAGGAGGAGGACTGATGAGGAGGAGGTGTATGAGGAGGATGAGGAGGAGAAAGGAGATGAAGGAAGGAGATGAAGGATGAGGATAAGGAGGACTGAGGAGGAGGACTGGTGAAGAGGACTGATGAGGAGGAGGACTGAGAATGGGAGGACTTAGGAGGACTGAGGAGGGGAGGACTTAGGAGGAAGAGGAGGATTGAGGAGGAGGAGGACTGAGGAGTAGAAGGAGAAAGAAGACTGAGGAGGATCAGGAGGACCCAGGAGGAGGAGGAAGAGGAGGAGGACTGAGGAGGAGAAGGAGGACCCAGGAGGAAGAACCAGGAAGAAGAGGAGAAGGAGGACTGAGAAGGAGGACTGAGAAGGAGAAGGAGGACTGATGAGGAGGATGAGGATGAGGAGGAGGGTGACTGGGGAAAGGATTGAGGAGGAGGAAGACTGAGGAGGAGGAAGAGAAGAAGGACTGAGGAGGAGAAGGACTGAGGAGAAGGAAGAGGAGGAGGACTGAGGAGGAGGACCCAGGAGGAGGAGGACACAGGAAAAGGCCCCAGGAGGAGGAGGATGACTTGGGAGGAGGAGGACTGATGAGGACTGATGAGGAGGAGAAGTAAGTGGATGAAGAGGATGAGGAGGACTGAGGAGGAGGACTGGTGAGCAGAAGGAGGAGGACCCAGGAGGAGAAGGAGGAGGAGGAGGATAACTGAGGAGGAGGAGAAGGACTGAGGAGGAGAAGAGGGATCCAGGAGGAGAACCCAGGAGGAGGAGGAGGAGGACTGAGGAGGAGGACTAAGGAGAATGAGGACTGATGAGGAGGATGAGGAGGAGGGTGACTGGGGAAAGGACTGAGAAGGACTGAGGAGGAGAATGCGGACTGAGGAGGAGGAACCAGGAAAAGGAGGAGGAGGACTGAAGAGGAGGACTGAGAAGGCGAAAGAGGACTGATGAGGAGGATGAGGATGAGGAGGAGGGTGACTGGGGGAGGACTGAGGAGGAGGGTGACTGGGGGAGGACTGAGGAATATGAGGAAGACTGAGGAGGAGGAGGAAGAGGAGAAGGACTGAGGAGGAGAAGGACTGAGGAGGATGACTGAGGAGGAGGAGGACTGAGGAGGAGGAGGAGGACTGAGAAGGAGGAGGACTGAGGAGGAGGAGGACTGAGGAGGAGGAGGAGGAGGAGGAGGAGGAGGAGGAGGAGGAGGAGGAGGAGGAGGAGGAGGAGGAGGAGGAGGGGGAGGAGTGAATAGGAGGAGGAGGGGGACTGGGCAGGACTGAGGAGGAGGACTGAGGAAAAGGATGAGGAGGAGGATTGAGAAGGAGGACTGAGCTGAGGAGGAGAACTGAGGACTGAGGAGGAAGAGGAGGAGGATGAATAGGAGGTGGACCCAAGAGGAGGAGGACCCAGGAGGAGGACTCAGGAGGAGGAGGAGGATGACTGAGGAAGACTGAGGAGGAGGAGGAAGCATCTAAATATTATTTCCATTTTTGTTATTTTTTGTCCGTTTTTGTCTGTTTTTGTCCGTTTTTGTCCGCTCTATTTTTTGTCCGTTTTGATAATATAGGGTTCCGAACGAAAAAAACGGATAAAAAACAGGATCCCCCTGGAGGAGGAGGAGGAGAAGGATGACTGAGGAGGACTGAGAAGGAGGAGGACTGAGGAGTACTGAGGAGGATCGCTGAAGAGGATGGCTGAGGAGGATGGCTGAGGAGGATGACTGAGGAGGATGACTGAGAGGGAGGAGGAGGAGGACTGAGAAGGAGGAGGAGAAAGAGGACCCAGGAGGAGGACTCAGGAGAAAGAGGAGGAGGAGGACTCAGAAGGAGGAATGAGGAGGACTCAGAAGGAGGAATGAGAAGGAGGAGAACTGAGGAGGAGGAGGAGGAGGACTGAATAGGAGGAGGAGGGGGACTGGGGGAGGACTGAGGAGGAGGAGTACTGACGAAAAGGATGAGGAGGAGGACTGAGGAGAAGGACTGAGGACTGAGGAGGAAGAGGAGGAGGAGGACCCAGGAGGAGGAGGACTGAGGAGGATGATGAGGACTGCAGAGGAGGAGGAGGAGGAGGATGAGGAGGAGGAGGAGGAGGAGGAGGAGGAGGAGGAGGAGGAGGAGGAGGAGGAGGAGGAGGAGGAGGAGGAGGAGGAGGAAGCATCTAAATGTTATTTCAATTTTTGTTATTTTTTGTCCGTTTTTGTCCGTTTTTGTCCGCTTTATTTTTTGTCCGTTTTGAAAATATAGCTGCCAAACGGACAAAAACGGACAAAAAAACATGAGCCCCCCCCCCCATCATTTGTGAACAAGAGATTAGAATACAGCTGGGTAACCTGTGTATATACATTAACATGAACAGTTTACCATATTGACCAACAGAGAAAAATTGGAGGGGCATACATTTTGACCTAAAAGAGGGGCATTTAGAGGGGGGCGTCTAGCCCTAAATGAAGCTTGCATAATTAGCTCCAGTTGCATTCTACCCTATGGGGACTTGTCAAATTGAAGAAAGATGGCATGGTCGGCAGTCGGCCCATATCCAAAAAGTTTAAAATTTCCTCCCAGATACAAATTTTCTGTTTTCAGTGGCCTACTCGCTTCGCTTGCAATGACGGCTTCTCAGGGCCGAGCTAGCATGGCGAGAGAGGCAAGCAAATTTTTGCTTGGCCACATTAAAATCTACAATATCTGTAGCCCTTCAAAATGGAGTGTTAGAAAATTTGAGAAATTACTATTTTAAAGTGGCTTTGTCCGACAACCCACAAGTAAAATACAGTTAGCTGGCACCATTTATCGTATGATATGTCCCTTTCAAAGTAGAGGCAACCATGTCCCGAGAAAAGGTTTGTGCGGAGAAAAGGTTTGTGTGGAGAAAAGGTGTGTGGATACAACATACACTTTCGCACATATTGAAGATATTTTGCCGTAGGCAAACAATTTTGTTTTCTTCCCAATTTTCGAAAACCTGCCCATTATGTAGTGAGGTAAGGGGAACTAGATATTTATTATATTTAAGTGAGGTAACCTATAATAACTCAATCGCAATTAGAAAACTCAAATAATAGTACCAATGGTTGAATTTGAGAGTAATCTGAAATTAGCTGATTTGAACAGTTTTACTTGCTACAGTATACAGTTTACAGTATACAGTATACAGTTTACAGTTTACAGTATACAGTTTACAGTTTACAGTATACAGTATACAGTTAACAGTTTACAGTTTACAGTATACAGTATACAGTATACAGTATACAGTATACAGTATACAGTATACAGTTTACAGTTTACAGTATACAGTATACAGTATACAGTTTACAGTTTACAGTTTACAGTTTACAGTTTACAGTTTACAGTTTACAGTATACAGTATACAGTAATTCTAAAAAACAAATAAGTTATTTTAACTATTATGCCACTAGTTCCTTTTTCTATCTAAGGATCTACTACAAGCACTTATGACAAATGTTGGCATTTTAAACGGTTTTAAAAGCAATGGTTCTAATGGTTTCTAATGGTTTTCAGGGTTAGTTATCTAATTTGGGTAAAAAAATTGAGAAGCACATTTGTCAGAAAAATGCAGAATTGTTAACTTTAACTTATTGAGCAATTTATGGGAAATGAGTTTAAAACTTTGAAGTCATAAACCTTGTCAAAAACCTGGAAGTTTCCTCAGCCTTAAATTTTGGATAATCCAGCGTGTCGTTAGTTCCAAATGTCCCAGTTAAAATAACATATTGTATTCATTAGAAACATTCAAGAGCTAATTAAATTAGGTAACTAATTAATGTACAATGGTGTGAGCACAGTGAGTAAATGGTATGTGTGCGCTGTGAGGTGAGTGTTATTGTGATACTTTAATATATTATTATTAATATATGTTATAATATATCTAATATATAATATATATCGTGTTTAGTACGAAGTTTCATGTGGAAAAGGAAAATAAAAACTAGGTCTAACAAGAATTTTTCCCAAATCAGCATATTGTGAAACATTAAGCTCGAAAACTCACCTCACTTCCAGTAAATTACACAAGTTTTGAGGAGCAATCTTGTCAAAGTTCATAGTCTTCTTCAACTCCTCTATAGACTGTTTACTGCAGTAGTCTATACATTTAGCCAGTAACTTAGTGAGGTTCTGATCTTGAGCGAACACCAATAATATCTGTAAATAATAGCTATACATTATAAATATTTGATATGTAGCTATAAGTTATGTAAATCTAATAATATTTGATATTATGTAGCTATAAGTAATGTTAATCCAATAATATTTGATATGTAGCTGTAAGTACTGTGAATCTAATAATATTTTTACTAAGTTATTAGCCAAGATAAATATCCACAAATATGGAATTATGATTTGATCTTAATGAAGGTTCATTCCGTGTATTGAATCTGATGTCTTCATATCACACAAGCTTAATATGACAAGTTCTGTAATCATAATTGCAGATCAATACAATCATATTTTACACAATGAAGAATAACACCATGTACAAACCAGATAATATGCATTATATATATATAATTCTATACACATATATAATATACACATATTCTATACACATATTCTATACACATATATAATTCTATACACATATATAATTCTATACACATATATAATTCTATACACATATATAATTCTATACACATATATAATTCTATACACATCCGGTATAATGTATATATACATTATACCGGATGTGTATAGAATGTACATATAACAGATAATATACATTATATATACATTATACCGGATGTGTATAGAATGTATAGTGTAGTGTATGTGTGTGTAGTGTATAGAATGTATAGAATGACTAGACTTACAAGGGTAGGTGTCTTGTTCTTGATAAGGAAATCCTCGCACCTCCGCAACAGTTCGAACATGTTGAACTGGTTAGCTAATGTTACTAACTTATCAACATTCAACTCACTGATGTGCTTGTTGGGTGGGTATATCGTCTGCGGGGTAATTGTAATTAATTATGCGGGGTAATTGTAATTAATTAGCGGGGTAATTGTAATTAATTATGCGGGGTAATTGTAATTAATTAGCGGGGTAATTGTAATTAATTATGCGGGGTAATTGTAATTAATTAGCGGGGTAATTGTTATTAATTAGCGGGGTAATTGTAATTAATTAAATGTAAGTTAAATAATTTAAATTATTATCAGGACATTAACAGCCAGCTGCAGAATATTTTAGAAATGATTTTTATTTTCAATGATACTGTATTATAAAATCCAGCTGAGTAGACACCTGTTCAACTTACAGAACAGATGCTCTACAATTAAACCTATTAGTGGTGTAACTAGTTCCACAGTGTAAACACTATTTGCAACACACTATCAATACTAGCTATGGTATATAACATACTCCACAACTATAGAACATCCGTCACATTAATTTCCAAATGTACGCCCGAAAGTCAAAAGCTCTAAAATTCAATGATCAAATTATGAGTTATGACTAGAAGAAACCTCAGAACTTTAGTTTTCAGATCAACTTTTATCTTAATATTTATTACTGGATTCAGATCTAGTGTTGATCCTCTCATTCAGAAATAGCCGGTAAGCAATCCTTCTCTTTTGACTCGGTGTCAAGTTACGCTACTGGAATACACTCTATATATGGGCGATTTCACGTAAAGTAAATTACACTTTGCACAAAAATTTGGCCTTATTCTGACACAAACATAACAGAATCATGATAAATTGCATGAAACATCTCTTATGTACTCCACACACAGCTATATTAAGATTTTTACTCCAACTGCTATGGCTTTTGAGTGAGGCACGTTTGAAAATGTAAAGTAAATTACAGGGCACAAATTGACATTCCTGACCAGCGTGTATTGAAATCTCATTTCGTGCCCAGGTGTGAGAGTAAACATTTAAATATTTTTCATGCACACTGGCAAATGTCTTGCCTGTACTGGAAAGGGTTTGTTTTGGTAAATGGTTAATAGCTGTGTTCTGTAGAAGCCTTTGTTCCTTGTAAAGTAAGTTACTCTTTATTGTCAAGTACTATAAATACACGCTCCACTGTATACACGCTCCACTGTATACATGCTCCACTGTATACACGCTCCACTGTATACACGCTACACTGTATACACGCTACACTGTATACACGCTCCACTGTATACACGCTCCACTGTATACACGCTCCACTGTATACACGCTCCACTGTATACACGCTCCACTGTATACACGCTCCACTGTATACACGCTCCACTGTATACACGCTCCACTGTATACACGCTCCACTGTATACACGCTCCACTGTATACACGCTCCACTGTATACACGCTCCACTGTATACACGCTCCACTGTATACACGCTCCACTGTATACACGCTCCACTGTATACACGCTCCACTGTATACACGCTCCACTGTATACACGCTCCACTGTATACACGCTCCACTGTATACACGCTCCACTGTTACTTTTAACAACTCACTCAATAGGTTCAGGGTCAAGTTACTCGGATGTAAATATGATAAGAGGCAGCAAAAGATAAGAGTGTGGCATTACAAAATAGGGAGTTTCTCTTACGATAACAGATAACAGTATATAGTGTTGTCAGAATACAGATAGTGGTTCTTATCTGTTTTCTCTTATCTCCCAGCTATAAGAACGTGCTTATTTTACAGTGGAGGTATAGTATAGTAATATATAGTATGCACTATTGGTAGTATAGTATAGTAATATATAGTAATATATAGTAATATAGTATGTATATAGTTTGTTTTGTCTCATCCCGAGGAGCACAAAACATCAAGTCACAAGAGGGAAGTCAATTTTAAGAAATTTAGGATTCTCATAAGTCAACAATAGATCAGGGGTAGGGAAGATAAAGAGTCATAAGATAGTTTAGTCTCTTAGCTGATATAATGCTCTCTAATGATCAGCTAACCACTTAATGACTCTAATTAATGAGTTTAATTACCTGTAATAACTGTAAGAAATCATCTCCAGACAGCTTGTCGCACCCTTCTACCTCTAGCTCAGTCTTGTCTCCTAGTGCTAGTATCTGACACTTTAACGTGGGGCTCCACATTGATATAACCGCCTGAGAGGGGGGGGGGTCAGCACGGGGGGGGGCCGGGGGGGGGGGGGGGGTGGGGTCAGCAAGAGGGGGGGTTAGCAAGAGAGGGGGGTCAGCAAGAGGGGGGTTAGCAAGGGGGGGGGTCAGCAGGAGAGGGGGGTCAGCAAGGGGGGGTCAGCAAGGGGGGGGGGGGTCAGCAAGGGGGGGTCAGCAAGGGGGGGGGGGGTTAGCAAGGGGGGGGGGGGGGGGTGGGGTCAGCAAGAAGGTGGGTATTAACCAACCTTGTGAACATGGGGGGGGGTATTAACCAATATTGTGAACATGGGGGGGGGGGTATTAACCAATCTTGTGAACATGGGGGGGGGGGGGGGGTATTAACAAACCTTGTGAACATGGGGGGGGGGGGGTATTAACCAATATTGTGAACATGGGGGGGGGGGGGGGTATTAACCAATCTTGTGAACATGGGGGGGGGGGGTATTAACCAACCTTGTGAACATGGGGGGGGGGGGTATTAACCAACCTTGTGAACATGGGGGGGGGGGGGGGGGGGGTATTAACCAACCTTGTGAACATGAAACTTCTTCTCACACGCGACCAACACTAAATCTGAAAACTCCCACGCTTTAGTGAAAGTTGGGTACTCCACCTCCTCAGGAACTACATCACTACTGCTAGAAGCCATAATCACGTGATTAGGTACACAGCTGATTACCTAGCAACACAGAAAACTAAATCTGTGCGATACCAGTGCACTGTTTTTATAAGGTATCTAGTTTCTTGCTCATCAATAGAGGACTGGGGTATTGGTGGTGCTCGAACTCATGTGCTTTCTCCTAAAATGGTATAATTAACACATCTAGATCTAGGAGGCACTGTCATTGCAATTGTGACTACATATTATATTGTAACTTTGAAAATGCATATTTGATAAATCCACCATTACCTAACAAAACCAGCAGAAATGTATTTTTAACAGGCGAACAATTGATTTTATTGCCTTAACATATTTTGTGAAAAAAATGCAGCAATTATGCCTTCCCCTAAATACAAGACTTCTGAACAACAATAATAATCGTGTTTAGGCGTTTTCGAAAACAATCTACTATATACAATTATTCAATTCTACATAATATCATGATTAAATTTCAGCATATATAAATTGTGATATTATGCAAGAGTCCGATGATTTATTGGATCGTTATATAATTGCGGAACCTAAAGTGAATTTTGTTCAAAGTTCAAACTTAATTATATAAATAAGATTTAAACAATCTGCAATTTTTAGGGTCAATTTTATGGCACGGTGTTTATTTTTCTACTTATGGCATCACATTTTTAGGTATTAGAATCGACTTCGCTGTCTGGATCATTTTCATGGGTTCAGATTATTTTACATAGTTTTCACTTTCAGGCCTGCCAAAAACAGTAACGTTCAAACAAATCAATGGAAACAGATAACTACCAGAAAAGCTAAGTAAATATTGTGAATATAACAAAATCAATACTGTGCAGTACGAACAAATAAATATGAAGATTATAAACATTAAACTTGAACACTATTTTTAGGTAGTTTCACTTTTAAACTATCATAAGACACAACTATCATTAATAATTGAACTTTACAATTCTCGATTGAACAACTTATCCTAGTAGTTAGACAAGTTCAATTCTTAAAAACAAACTAAATTATAGAAAAATTGAAAGAAACAATCCCACTATTTGTAATTGCTAACGAATTGTTATGAATTCTAGTCTGATGAGTAAATTGATCAATTGATTTGAGAAAAACAACAAGAAACAGCACAGCTAAACGTGACTACTAGTAATAGTATAAGTATAGTTACCATAGTTACACCACTATTTATTAGTTTATCTTAGTTTATCCCAGCCAGATTTAAATGAATTAAAAGAGAAAGGGGAACTTTTCATGTGTTCATTTTCTCAGCTTTTGTTTAAAAATGAAAAGAAAACTTTGTAGACAATTGAAATTATGTAAGCCATTTGAAAATAAATAAAAAGCAGTTCAAAAAAGCGTTATTACGTATCTCGTGATAATGCTTTTTATCTATCTTCTTCCTGAAAAGCTGAAATGTGAGTAAAAAAATCAAATTTATTTCTTAATTGTGATAAAGTTATTAAACAATCATTCTGAAAAACTCCTCGGGGAAAATTCTTAAGTTTCAATCATCAACAATTCAGTTCAACTATGTATTCAAGATTATATGTACATCTAACTCTTCAAACAAATCTGAGACTTTGAACTCTGGAAATCAATAATTTTAAATCACACGATGATTTAAATAGGGGATAATGCTATGAAAATTTAATACCTTTGAAGTATCAAACTGATGTTGCACTGTGAAGTCATTGAAAAAACAAGTCTATACTAAAAATAACATTTAACACTTCCATCTCCAATGAAACTCATTCACTCATTACCCAAGATAGATAAGAGATAGAGGAAGATCTGGATAACATCAATGTAGATAGTGAGGGCCCCGAACACGTACTCCTCCTCCGTCAGCTCGTACTTCCTCCCCCCAATCAGCATCTGAGTATCGTACACAAGGAACATACTGAAGATCAGCACTCCAATACATCCGTACACCACCTGGAGCACCCGACTGTGGAAGAAGATCATGAAGAAGCCGAAGCAGATGAAGACCATGAAGATAGCGAAAATGTAGGCTCCCTTGCTGGTGAAGTCCACCTTGGTCTGGCAAGCAAACAAAGTGAGACCCAGTGTAATTATGCAGGTGGAGCCCGCGGCGATGAGAACTGCATCAACGCGGTAGTAGAGGGTAATACACCCCACAAACCCTGACATAGCCAGAGTGAAGATGAAGAGCAGGATAATATTGAGGGGGTGTTTCCTCCTCACACTATCACAGCACACTAGCACTATCTCAATCACAATAAAGACAACCAGACACACCCACATTGATATGAACACCTTCTGAGAGGTTCCCGCGTCCCAGTTCTCACGGAGGTTCCCCACAAACTTCTGCATGAGGAGTATGGTTGCTACAGTAACTCCGAACTGCATGCACAGGATGATGTAGACCTTCCTGATGAAACCTCGTCTGATGTCAGGATCAGATAGTCCTCGGTTACCTACCCGGATCATATCATCATCTGTATTACCTGAACTATATCCCACATCTACTGCTACATGGTCCTTCCCTGCTTGAGGAGCAGGGTAGGAGCCTCCTGTAGGAGGGTAGGCGGGACCAGGAGGGGCGTATTGCGGAGGGTAGGCAGCTTGCTGGGGTGGGTAGGCGGCTCCTTGAGGGGGGTACAGAGCTGCTTGAGGGGGGTAGGCGCCACCCTGGGGTGGGTAGGCACCTGCCTGGGGTGGGTAACCACCTGCCTGGGGTGGGTAACCACCATAACTAGCATCATAAGTAGGAGGTGGTGGATCTTTGCTCGAATAGTCCATCACTAGGTACCTAAAATATCCGAGGGTCATTAATAACACTTTTTAAAATCAAACATAACCATTACATCCGAAACATTTCTCAGGGCTAACACATAATAATTAGTAGGATATATTTACTAGAGAATATATCCTATAATAATATGAAACAGAGAATTAAAACTGAAACAGAAAAGACTAAGAAAGAGATGTTACGGTTAATGGTATGCTTACTGCTTTATAGAATTATACACGTTAAATAGGAACACAGAAAATGAGAATGCTGGAACGTATAACAAAGTCAAAATTTATTATCAATCAAAACACAAAACAAAGAAAATAATTTACATCTCACTGAGAATAACTCCATTAGTTGCCCCCCCCCCCCCCCCCCCCAATTAGTTAATTGATATGATTTCCAATTACTGGTAAACTCAGCGGCTGCAAAATACAAATTCAATTTTAAGCTTGTCGACAATGAATGTTGAACAGTATAATTTTCTTCTAACTCGAATGCCATGCAGAATAGGTCTTGTATCGCACGTTACTGATTTAGATAAGAGACCGATAGTGGCGTGATTTACTGGCGATAGAAAGTGTAAAACTGTTAACTTTAAAATTAACAATCAAATCCTTATCGCTCAACATTATGTAGTATCTACATTTATGTGAATCGAATAATCATTTTCTTTATCATTTATTCAGCCTGAAAAACAATATAAACATTAATAAAAATCTTTGATATAATTAAACTTTAAATCCAATCTCTTAATTCACATTATTTGCGACAAGAAATACAATAATTCTTCCCCAACCGTTCAAGACACGGTTCATTATGAAAGACGTGCCCGCAGAAGAAGACAGTAACATCGCTACTCTCCCTATCTGATATAACCATGTTCTTACAGATCTGACAGTTACTTTCCTCATCAACATGCGCGCCCCTCCGAGCTAATCCCCGCATCTTCCTAGATAAACTAACTGTATCATTAACAAACACCCTCTTACACCCTTCATTGAGGTGAATCTGCAACTTGTAATCACACAGTATCTTCACCAGGCTGTCTCTCAGACCATCTATCTTCTGTCCGTTCGGTATCTTAGCTATCAGATCCTTTGGGTTAATGTGAGTTCCAATGTTCTGTAGTAGACCCGTGATATAAGAAGATTTGTTACTCTCAGTAGCTTTCTTTAGTAAATTATCCCACAACTCCTTGTCGTCCTGTTCCTTACAGAACTCAATAGCTGCAGTGATATCCCCTATCTCATCCACCAGCAGCGAGAGGGCCTGTATTGGTCTCCCCATCTGGGTCAGCAGATAAACCTGTGCCTCATAAAGTTTCCTCTTCTCGCATATCTCGTACGCTTTATCTATAGGATAAGAAGTGCTTTCCCTTAGGAAGCGCATTAATCTACTCTTACCTTGAGAGGTGTCGTATTCAGCGTACAGTCCTATCATATCCTCATGGTATTCAAACCCTATCTCTGGATCCATCTGGAACAGACTATCCAGATACTTGTAGAGGAGCTTGGTCCGTCTGGCTACTTCTGAAGACTTGGTTTTCTTGTCTCTCTTCTTGAGGTCCTCTACAACCATACTGACTGGGATTTTGTCAGTGTTGTTGATGTACAGGTCAATAGCTTTCTCTTCGTTTAACGTGAGTAATCTTAAGATTTTGTCGTCACCTTCAAGTGAGGCGAACAGGTTATATCTATCTATCAAGGCGAAAGCTTTAGGATCTGAGAGTTTGATGTAGAGATAGAGAGAATTAACAAAGTCTTCTTGGTACTCGTAGAGTAAACCCAGACATTTCAATAACGATAGGTTATCAGCTGGGCTTAGCTTTATTTCTGATAACATTTTCTTCAGGTAATTGATAACGGCTTGTTGTCCGTAAATCTCAGGGGGCCACAGTCGAACAAATTTGTCAAACAACTCAAATTCGTGAGCGTTGAGGAATGATGAAAGTGCGAGTTCGTAAGCCCATGGTTTTAGGACTGGTTTCTTGGTAGGAATGTAAGGACAGAGGACGGTGAGTTTCTTGCAGTTAGTGAATGCCATGATCTCCTGTTGCCACGCCTCCCCATCACCTTGTAATATTGAGCTGCACGCTTCAGCACATTTCTCAAACTGACCTACACTCCGCAAATGTGCCAGGTACTTCTGTCCCACTGATTTAAAAGTGTGTTTTCTCAACTGGCTCTCATGAACACGAACCACTTCAAGCGCTTCGTCAAACCTGAGTCTATCTTTCAACCACTCAACTTTATCATCCATATCCCTCGGTTTAGCTAGTACCAAATCAGTTGGAGCACAAATATAAACAAAATGGTCATAAGTCAAAACGGACATGTTGTAGTCATTAGGTCCGCAAGTCTCGTATCCTTTAATTGACAACTCCTCTAAAGACAGCTCCTCACCATTAAAACTAGTTATTCTAATACAAGGTCGGACAGGCTGACCGTTCTCTGGTGCTCGGTACCCCAGAGATATTATCTTGTCATCAGGTTGTGGTCCAATCCCTGACACATAGTGATCAAGGTATATAATGTTCATGACCTCCACATAGAATGGCGGCAGGTCCTGGGAGTCAGCAGAAGTTCTTGGTCTAACTTGACATATTTTAATGGTGTTAGCCCATCCTACCAGCAGTGTGACTCCGTTATACCAACAGAGGTGACACTGATAGTCTGCTGGGGAGGGGGACTTAGGGTCCCTCGCTATCTTCGTTATTAGCTTCCTGCTATTAGTATCAAATATTTTAACACCCATATCATTAGCCCAAGCAATGAAAGTTTTCTTCCAGCTCACCTTCCAAATGGGACCTTCCCCAGCGTGTAGAACACTTCTCTTCACCCCAAAGAAGCCCTTCTCATTGAACATGAGCCTATCAGTCCCCACTACGTAGTGCCCTTGTGTGGCAAAGTCAGGACCCAGCTCTACTGAGTATACTGCAGCTCTGAAGGACTCAGAGGAGTCCCTTTCAGAAGACTCCTTGTAGAGTCCCTTGATTATAACGTTAGGATCGTGTCGTGAACACGAGGCAATGTACTCCCCAGTAGAATCTATTGAAATACAGGTAACCGGCCCCTTGTGAGCGTTTATCTGCCTGATGATGTTCCCACTGTGATCAAGTAGGAACACCTGCCCGTGCACATCACCCAAAACTATAAACTTTTCATGAACAGAGATGATCGAGATCTTAGTGTTGGGAAATATCCGGTCCCTTAGATCGGATTTGATTGAGCGCTCGTATTTGAGGCTCGGTTCAACCTCTTCCTCGTCATCTTCCTCTTCGGATGATGCTTCCAGGTCCTCGACTTGTTCCAAAGCTACTTCAACATCAGCTACTTCAACATCAGCTACTTCAACATCAGCCATGAGAGCTACTGGAGGGGTTGATATAATTAACAAACTAATTTAGCCTTTATATAATACAGTAAAACCCCAATTTAACGCTGAGTTTTCGGGAAAGGCTGCAATTAATCCGGATGTAGGGTTTTATTGTAAACTGGCAAGCTGGATATCACAACATAATTTTATAATATGGTATTTATTATTCAATGTGTTTTATACTTAATTGAATAAATTTGACGAAAAATAAAAAAATGTCAGCTCTGAAAACTTAATATCAGGTTTACATCATTATAATTCATATCATTACATTAATTTATTGTCACCACTATAAAAAAAGTATATCTTAAAAATTAAAATCACATAAAAACATCTAAAACACATCATCACCATATAACGTAAAATCTGAAAATTACAAAAAATAAACTTGACTTTTTTAAACATAAGCATTTACCTCTAAAATATGAACAACTATTTTTAGGTTTACCATACAAAATTGTGCATAAGCAGTAAGCACCAAGCATTATGAAAAGCGCCACCATCACAATTATGAAGACAAACCAATTTAAGCTAAATCAAAAATATTCATTGAGCTTTTATTTTGATAAGTTCAAATCTAAAGAAAATCAAAATTAAATCAACCACAAAGTGAATTATAAAACAATTGATAATTCACTGTCACAGGTGAGTTGCTCCTTGAGGTTTGTCAAGTTCTTAATACTTTCCCCGTTCTGTACCAGTTGCTCCCGTATTGCTGCTGGGACACTTGAACAGCGAGACTTCGCTCCTATTAGAGCTTTCCTCAGGGCAATCTGTTCTTTCAGTTTGTTTCCAATATCATGCAACTTCTCATCAAAAACAGCTGCTTTCTTCTCCGATCCTTTAAGAAAAGTAAAGGAACTTGAACTGGACTCTGCAGTGCTTCTTCCAGATTGGACACTAAATGATCTACTACGTAGAACTGGGGTAGTAGGATTATCTGGTCTTCTATTCACTGAGACACTGCGTCTGGGGGGAGGTGTTGGATCTGAATTCAAGCACTGTTCGTGGCGTATATTTCCGCACATAGAGCAGATGTAAGCCGTCTTGTGAACCACAACTTTGGAGCACACATCACATTTCTCTTCTCTTTCAACCTGGCCAACTACAAAGGAGTGCTCACAGGAGCTGCTATCAGTAGAACAGTAAGTCAGCTGTAGCTTAACTTCTCCAGCAATACACGCCATCTTGGGGAGGACCTGAGGTAGGGATCCCACACTGGGAACTATATTTTCCTGCCACTTCAAATCACTGGGTAGAGACAGCATCAAGGATTCGTTGTAAGAGTTACTAGAGGTTGATATGCATTGTAACACTAGATCAGCCAAGCTAACATTACAGAATCCTACTAATACAGGATTAGTAGGCCACCTGGTTGGGGGTTCTTCTTTCCAAAGGCACACTGTCAAGTACTGGTGTGCTTCCTGCATCTTTAACAGGAAGTACTCGTCCCAGAATGGAGTTATGGACATGGAACAGTACTGGGTCCTGAGAAGACTCTCAGAATTATTGCGACAAGGCTCAGAAACATTTTCACTAGAAGAAGGTTTAACAGTATCAGTGACAGGGGTCTCCTTATCAGACAACTCCTCGTCCTCCATCTCCAGCTCCTTTAGTATCATGAACTCTTCATCCTCTACAAATGTAGCGCCTTTAACAGCATCAGTTTCAAAAGCTGCCATGTCTTGCGAAGCTTCGCCTGATGTGAATATCTTATTCCATTTGATCAAGGGTCTTCTAAGGGACAGTTTAGCTCTATTAGCTGATAAAGATGCAGCAAGAGCAGCTTTAAAGCTAGATGCTTTCTTGTTGTTGATAGCTGTGATAACATCACCCTGTCTGATGTTACTGTCTGCAGCCGGTGAGTTTCTTTGCACATCTGCAACCACAACCTTGGGAGTCTGCCCCTTCTCCAGCTCCCCATCAACGTTGAAGGTTATCCCTATTCCGTCGTTAGCATTTGGAATAACAGCATCAAACGAAATGCTCTGTTTCAGGGGGCAACATTCAGCATCCCACATCTTTGCTCCCAGTGATACAGTGCAATAAAACCACCCTTTCTTAGTGCTGTTTGTCTTTACTACTCTGTTTGCGCTGATCAACTTTACGATCAGTTTTCCTTGAGCCAACGGTTCTCTACAAATAAAGAACTGTTTTTCTGGGGGTAAGGAAATGTAGGGTTCTTTGAACAGAGGAGAATACCTACGCTTGTAGTTGGGTTTTGTGTGCTTTTTCCTGACTATGTGCTTCAAAACAGATGTAACAACTTTAGTGAATTTAGGCAAGCTCCGTTTTTGAAAAGCACTGATAACATTGAACTCAACTTCAGGCTCCGTATTAAAGCAGAAGCCCCAATGTGTTTGAGGCTCCCTATTAAATATGAATATAAGCTTACCAATCAACCTTGTTACTTCAACACTGATATACATGTTTTTACCCATGAATGTAGTTGCCTGGAGGGCTAGTTTGCCACATCCTTTATAGTCCACATCCACTGATATGTGCAATTTTCTGAATAACTTAGTCTCCTCACACATCTTTAGTTTACTAATATAAATGTTGCTGATTTTTGGTGGTGAAGTGCCAGCAGAGAAATTGTGCACACTTAAAGTTTTGATAATTCTGGATTTCAACTTGCTGGTGAGGACATCACTGATTTCACTGTTGATTCTAGACAGAACTTGAGCTCTGATTTTAGTGTCTTCTCTGAGTTCTTGAAACATAAATAACATAACAACATTGAGGAAAGAAGCTGTGCTCTTTCCCACAGCAGGCGAGGATTTGTTAATTGAACCACTGTTTATATTTCCTAATATCGTGTTAATGTGATCCCAGTCGGGGGATAATTTAGCTTCGCCCGGAGGGCTGGACTCTTCTTGCTTGGAAAACCACAGGTGAAAGATAAGGGCTTCAATAGCAAGAACTGTAATGATGCCGGCCAGGTAAGTTAAACATAGCAGTATCATTATACCCGGCTTCCTGAATTGGCTGAAGTTCATTTACAAGTTTCATAAACTATTAAATGATTACCTGTATACAGGCATTTATGTCAACATTGCAAGTTGAATCTAAAGCAATACTACATAATTTTGAGTCACTGATATTGATCAAAGAAACAACTTTTCAAACACAATAACTACTTAAGCATTGAATTATTCTTTTTGTTTTTCATCATGGTAGTAAAATTGCAAAGATATCCAGTAATTTGTAATTTTAAAAGTAAGTTTAATTAATTACATCACACTTCAACAATTATCATTTAGACTAAAAAACAATCATGCAAATTGGCATCTATAATAGCAAATTGTATGATACATGCATTTAATGAGGTGTATTAACTAAACCCTTTTTATATTTTTTTTCAAAACCTCAAACAATAATTTACGTACTTCCTTTTCAATTTGATCATAAATTAAAATCTCCACCGAAAATATCTGAAAAGCTATGCTGGTATTGACATTAGATAAAATAAACACAAGTAGTGAGTAGTAGCGCTATGAAACAAAAACTCTATAAACTAATGCACATTGAAATGTATCATGAAATGTATCCCCATATTTGAAACAAGTGAAGCAACTATTATTCATAATTAATGAGCTCTTTTTGTGATAAATATAGAGTGTTACAATGAAAATGTCACAATTTAATGGAATGCCCTTGACCATAAATTAAGCACTTCAAATAATGGTTAATATGGAGTGTAAAGCTGAACCTGAAAAAATCAGATCTTATGCCAGGTATCATTTCTCCTTGAATACGTACATCAACTAGTTTCAAGTACCATAAACTTAGAGTTGTGAAAATATCTTTTGATTTAAAAAATAGAGTAATTGGAGTCACTCGTAATCATTATAAGAAAATATCACACTGTCAGAAAGGAAGAAAAATGTTCTTATCTCCTTCCGAAGAGTTCAAGAAGGTAAAGGAATATTTGGATAACGTCGATGTAGATGGTGAGTGCCCCAAAGACATACTCCTCTTCACTCAGCTGGTACTTCTTTCCTCCCACAAGCAGTTGTGTATCATAGACAAGATACATGCTGAAAATCAGCACACCCAGACAAGCATACACGATATTTGCTGTATTGCTTCGGAAAATTGCTGCAAAGAAGCCAAATATCATGAAGCAAACAAGAACGACAAAGAGATAAGGCCCCATTCCAGTGAAATCAAACTTTGTTTGGAAAGAGAAAATGGTGAGAGCTAACACAATCAGGGCTGTGGCGCCAGCAGCAGTCAAGACAGCTTGCGGCTCGTATGTGGATGCAATTATGCCCACAAAGAGTGACATTGAGCAGGTGAAGATAAAGAGGACCACCAGATTAACAGGGTGCTTCCTTCTCACACCTTCACAGCAAATCAGAGCAATTTCAGTAACAATCAATACGGCTAGGTTTGCCCACATTACAGCATTTCCAGCAGGGGTTATGGCCCATGCTTTGGCACTATCACTGTAACAGAAAAATATTGTGAAAATGGTAGTGATAGCAAATTGGATGGACAGAATTCCGTACACTTTACGGATGAATCCACGTCTAACATCAGCATCTCCAAATCTCCCCGATTGAATCAGATAATCATCTTGTTCACTGCCATGACCAGCTTCAAGTCCATCATTAGCATTATAGTACCCTCCCTGAGCTGCAGGTGCCTGGTATCCCTGGGGAGGGTAACCTTGCTGAGGAGGATAACCTTGTTGAGGAGGGTAACCTTGCTGAGGAGGATAACCTTGCTGAGGAGGATAACCTTGCTGAGGAGGGTATCCTGTATTGTAAGGCGGAGGAGCACCTTGCCCTTTCTCGAAATCAGCCATAAATCTAAAAGGAGTAATTGTGTTACGGAAAGAGTTATAAAATTGAAAAAATAAAGCTTCTATTCAATGAAACAAGAAATTTCTAATGAAGCAAGAAATTTAATTTGTAACAAATTTATACAATTCACTAGAATAGTGTTTTCCAAGTCTTGTCCTGTGAGTAAAGTATGTGTGAGAAAGTTTTAATAAATCAATGTATATTTTTGAATTTTTTAAATTTAATTTGAGAATGAAGTATACATAAATTTGAAATAAGCACTGCCGAGTTTAAGATATTTATAGCTTAATATAACAATTGATACAAAGGTCATAATCTTTTGCCAGCTCTCCGATAGATAATATCCGCCTTGACTGCAACCCATAGTAACAACTATAAACAGAACCCCTTATGTCTGCTAACAATTTTGTTGGTCCCAATATGAGCCTTGTCTCTAAAACCTCAACTGAACTAGCATTTCAGTGTGTGTAAAAGCTTTCAAAGACGCACATTCATTGTCCCGTTAGTTAACCTGTCCTTTCAAAATCAAACTAGCAGTCAGGGACAAAAAGTCATACACCAAATGGGCATTATATTTTTATGAATTGTTTTATGTCTTTTTATTCTGTAAAATGTGCTGAAAATTAAGTTTCTTGTTTCATTGAACATTTCTTGTTTCATTGAATATAATGACCATTTGGTGTATAACTTTTTGTCCTTGGCTATTGACTGGATTTTGGAAGGACAGGCAATTAACGGGGCAAGGAATGTGTGGGTCTGAAAGATGAGTTTTTGGAGACAAAGCACATGTTTGGACAATGTAACAATTGTTTGTGAAGAAAAAAGTTCTTTTAAGGGTTGCTATCACGGATTGCAGTCTTGCTGTGACAGAAAGTCTACACTATATGCTTTGATGTATGGTGTTCAATTGGAGGATATGAAATGCAAAATTTAACTTGAAAGTGGAAATTGTTTATTGGGGAGTTGGCGAAAAATTGTGGCCTTTGTATCAATGGTTATAATAAGCTATGGATATGTTTTATTGTTTATAGTGCTAATTATGAATTTCATTAATATACTTTAATCTCAAATTGAATTTAAACAATACAAAAATATAGATTGATTCTATCAAAACTTTCTCATAGGGCATACACATTACACACACATGCTTTACTCTCATACATTATATACACCGGACAAGACTCGGAAAACACTAGCCAGTGAAATTTAATTCAGATGTGTGGGACCAGCAGGTTTTTTGCCAGTGGACTATTTGAGGTATAGAAGGTGTGTGAATTCTGACTTAACTTAGGTAAAATTTATGACACAATAGATAGACTGTCGAAGTGGCAACGTCTTAGTTGAGGTTCTGAGTTACTGGGTGGCGCTCATTCTAGTCTGCCGAATCTCTATTCTATGTTCATGAACACGATAGCATGGGGTCTCCAGGTAAGTTCTGATTAAATCAAAACCAGAACAATCTCGCACTGATATTCAGTCTTTTTACCATCCTGTACATTAGTTCCATTAAATAGTTTAAGCTAAGTAAAGCTAAGTCAAGTGCGCGATGAACGGAAAGTAGCAGAACACAATTGATAATATTAGCTGCAGTGCTGAAATTACCTGGGGACCCCAGGCTATTATGTTCATAAACATATCCGCCGAATAAAGATTCGGCGGAATGACAGACTGAGCGCCACCCAGTAATGCTGAAAGCAATTTCATAGATCAGTAAAGCTATGTATAATTCAAGACAGTTGATCAAGGTCTAATTTGAATCACGTCGTGACCCACATTGTTGTTTCACTAAGCGAAAACCACGACACGATACATGATACAGCCGTTCACATAGCCATGTGCCTACGCGTACTGCGTGACGCGCTTGTTTCACAAGTAGGATCTTTTGCCGCCTCCGGCGGTCGCGCGCTACTGCAAGCGAGAGGGCTCTGGTTAGAGCAAATACAGCCGCGCACACGTGCGCGGCCGCAAGTCTACAACGTGTGGCAAGGTCTAACTGGGTTAAAGTTACCTGCTGACTGCTGCTGCTGAATGCTGCTGACTGCTGCTGACTGCTGCTAACTACTGCTGACTGCTGATTGATGGATGTTACTCGTCTAAATTTCTTCGAAGTAGCGCGCGCCGCTTTCTTCTCGAAATGTTATGGCCCAATGGCAAGTGCTACGAAGTAACGCGCGCCGGGCCAGACCATTAACAATGGTCAAACTGCTAATAACTGCTGCTGACTGCTGCTAACGACTGCTAACTGCTGCAAATGTAAAATGACGCGCGACATCAGCAGTAAGATCATAGATTCAACAATTTTTAAATAGGACAAAAATCAACGAATTTCGTCCAATTCAATTCCGCGACTTTTATATTTACTGAAGCTCCAAAAGCCGCGCATCATCAAATGTGGCACCTATCCAGCAAAACTTACTACCTGGCGGTATTACTACCCAGCAGACCTTACCGGCTAGCGATATTACTACAGGGTGATCGCCTTTTCACAGCTTGTTGAAATCCGCGCGCTTTCGTAAGTTCTTTGCATTTGCACGCTTCAATTATTCCAAGAATGCAATTGTACCACGTACCACGTGATACGAGTCAGCCAATCAGAGAACAAGAATCCGCAAAGTTAAAGCTGCGCAGTTTTATAAGGCCTAAAATATGACTTTTCGCTATAATTCAAAATCTACATTGTTTTGAATTTGGCTCCTGGGGAGCTAACTTTAGTTTTACAAGATAAGACGACCATTTTGTTGAAAACCAGACGTTTCTATCTCTTTTACTTCCGAAGTTAGGCCCCTAACGTTAAGGTTTCCTGGGAATTAGTCAGTCATTTATAGATGCCAAATGACACGATTGAGGTGCTGGAAGTTTGATTCGGGTCGGAGGAAGCTCACAGCAGAAATTTTAAGAAAACGAAAAGTTGTATTTTCAAAACTCTGTCCCATTTTCAGATGTGAAAATTTCTGAACGCACATTTGACAGATTGGATGAATTTTTGCCCACAACCAATTAGTAGGAGGTGCACCATAAAAATAAACTTGCTCGGATTTTCAAAATTTTTGTACCATTGTTTTCTAGAGACTGTGAGAATTTTCACAATACCAAATTTGTCATACCTTTTTGAAAAGATCAGTGAGTTTCGCCTAGGTGCCATATTTGATGGTGCGCGGCTTTTGGAGCAAAATTAGCTGTAAAAGTCGCATAATTTGACCAAATTTGACCAAATTCGTTGATTTTTGTCGTGTTATTTGGATATATCTTCAGTTCCTTAAATGAGATCGTTATGAAAATTGGCGACGACCTTCCAATAGGGCTTTCACAACTGTCCGAAAAATTTGGTGGATATCGGAGTTGATATAGTGATCAAAATTGGGCAAAATACGCTGCTTTTAGCTGTAACATAATGTCTGATGGTTGGATATGCTTTAAACTTTTCGGACACCTTCCTTGTAAGTCTATGAGTAAGCTTACCAATGTTTGTCGCAATCGGACGTCGGGAAGGATACTTAATATCTATTTGTGTGAAGAAAATTGTGCTGGCCGAAATTAGCGCTAAAAAACCATCCTACAGTCGGCACGCGCGGCTCACTGTCGATGGCGCACTACCTACAATTAGTCAGTTAATTGATGATGGTATGAAACCAAATTGGGGTACTGGAAGTCAAAATCTCGAAAAAAATTGGAAAATCATACTGTCCCATACTCTGTCCCATTTTCAGTTTTTGAAGCTGAAACTTCCAGGGCCGAAATTTTACAGTTTTGGCCGAATTTCTGACCCGCAACCAATTAGTCAGTCATTTATAGATGCCAAATGACACGATTGAGGTCCTGGAAGTTTGATTCGGGTCGGAGGAAGCTCACAGCAGAAATCTTAAGAAAACGAAAAGTTTTTTTTAAAAAACTCTGTCCCATTTTCAGATGTGAAAATTTCTGAACGCACATTTGACAGATTGGATGAAATTTTTGCCCACAAACCAATTAGTCAGTTAATTGATGATGGTATGAAACCAAATTGGGGTACTGGAAGTCAAAATCTCGAAAAAAATTGGAAAATCATACTGTCCCATACTCTGTCCCATTTTCAGTTTTTGAAGCTGAAACTTCCAGGGCCGAAATTTTACAGTTTTGGCCGAATTTCTGACCCGCAACCAATTAGTCAGTCATTTATAAATGCCAAATGACACGATTGAGGTGCTGGAAGTTTGATTCGGGTCGGAGGAAGCTCACAGCAGAAATCTTAAGAAAACGAAAAGTTGTATTTTCAAAACTCTGTCCCATTTTCAGATGCACATTTGACAGATTGGATGAAATTTTTGCCCACAAACCAATTAGTCAGTTAATTGATGATGGTATGAACCAAATTGGGGTACTGGAAGTCAAAATCTCGAAAAAAATTGGAAAATCATACTGTCCCATACTCTGTCCCATTTTCAGTTTTTGAAGCTGAAACTTCCAGGGCCGAAATTTTACAGTTTTGGCCGAATTTCTGACCCGCAACCAATTAGTCAGTCATTTATAGATGCCAAATGACACGATTGAGGTGCTGGAAGTTTGATTCGGGTCGGAGGAAGCTCACAGCAGAAATGTTAAGAAAACGAAAAGTTGTATTTTCAAAACTCTGTCCTATTTTCAGATGTGAAAATTTCTGTACGCACATTTGACAGATTGGATGAAATTTTTGCCCAGAAACCAATTAGTCAGTTAATTGATGATGGTATGAAACCAAATTGGGGTACTGGAAGTCAAAATCTCGGAAAAAATTGGAAAATCATACTGTCCCATACTCTGTCCCATTTTCAGTTTTTGAAGCTGAAACTTCCAGGGCCGAAATTTTACAGTTTTGGCCGAATTTCTGACCCGCAACCAATTAGTCAGTCATTTATAGATGCCAAATGACACGATTGAGGTGCTGGAAGTTTGATTCGGGTCGGAGGAAGCTCACAGCAGTAATCTTAAGAAAACGAAAAGTTTTTTTAAAAAAACTCTGTCCCATTTTCAGATGTGAAAATTTCTGAACG